AAGCACTTATGAAAGAGTGGGACCTACTGAAAGAATAAAAGCAGGTGTGAACTTAAAGTCAGAGTTCTAGCTGGCTGAGAAGCGCAGAAGAGGAACTTGAGTTGCCACTGAGCACTGGTGCCAGAAACAGTGGACAAGATACTGGGAGCATCGCTTACGATTCTGTGGCTTCAGCTAGGCTGTGAGCTGTGGAGGAGAAAACCTAGCATATCTCATTAATTAGGAGGACTGAGCAAATTGGGTTACAAACAAGTTCATGCAGATAGTCTTAAAAAAGAAATATGTTTTATAGAATTAATGGCTTTTATCTCTTTAAGCAGGGGTGAATGGACAACAAAAGGAAAAAAGTGACCAACAGCAGGTGAAACAGAGCCCTCGATCTCTGACAGTCCAGGAAGGAGAGATTTCCATTCTGAACTCTGGTTGTGAGAAGAGTGCATTTAATTGCTTCCTGTGGTACCAGCAATACCCTGGTAAAGGCCCTGCATTCTTGGTAGCCATAGGTTTAATTGTGAATGAAATGGAAGAGGGAAGATTCACCGTTTTCCTCAGTAAGAGTGCCAAACAGCTCTCATTGCACATCGCAACTTCCCAGCCTGGAGACTCAGCACCTACTTCTGTGCAGCAAGTGCACAGTGCTCCCCGGGCACCTGCAGCCTGTACCCAAACCTGCAGCCGAGGCTCCAGACACAGCCTGCTGAGTAGATGAAATACACACAGACACACAATTTGTTTCTGCATAAAAAGTCTTAATATATTTAGGAAAACTGACATTATATAGAATTTATTTTTTGACCAAAATGGAAATGATATGGAAAATTAAGTGCAAAGAGACATCTCTAGAAACTCCCAAATAGTTGGTATATATTTAAAATCTATAACTTTAAAACAACCCTAGGTTAAAGAAATAATTACAGTGGATGCTAGAAGATATTTTGAAAGTAAATGTGAGAGCACATGAAATATGTATGAGATGCAGCTAAAATAATACACAGAAAGAAATTTATCTTTTTAAATACTTATATTACTAAAGAAAAAAGGTTGATAAACTACTATCAAGGCTTTTAAGAAAAGATGATAGAAAAGCAAATTAAACCCAACATAAACTGAAAGAAGTAAATAATAAAATGTCTAATTGGTGAAATACAAAGAACTCTATGGAGATAACCGTGAAATACAAAGTTAATTTTGTTAAAATAATTAATAAACTTGATATATTCCTAGGTAGACTTATCAAAGGAAAAGAGAAAAAATACAAATTATAAATATAAGAAATAAAAAAGAGAACTATTCTGCAGGTTCTGTTACATTCTAAGGGAATGAAAGAGTATCATTAACAAGTTTATGTTAGTGAGTCATTGTATAGAAGTGGATCCACACAGGTCAGGAAAGCTTATTTTTTGGCAAAATGCAAAGACAATTCAATAGAGGTAGTAAGGTGTTTTTTTTTTTAATTTATTTATTTTAATTGGAGGCTAATTACTTTACAATATTGTGGTGGTTTTTGCCATACATTGACATGAATCAGCCATGGGTGTACATGTGTCCCACATCCCGAACCCCCATTCCACTTCCCCCCCATCCCATCCCTCTGGGTGGTCCCAGTGCACTAGCTTGGAGTGCCCTGTTTCATGCATTGAACTTGGACTGGTCATCTATTTCACATATGGTAATATACATGTTTCAATGCTATTCTTTCATCCCTCCCTCGCCTTCTCCACAGAGTCCAAAAGTCTTTTCTTTATATCTGTGTCTCTTTTGCTGTCTCACATATAGGGTCGTTGTTGCCATCTTTCTAAATTCCATATATATGCATTAATATACTTTATTGGTATTTTTCTTTCTAACTTACTTCACTCTGTATAATAGGCTCCAGTTTCATGTACCTCATTAGAACTGATTCAAATGTGTTCTTTTTAATTGCTGAGAAATATTCCATTGTATATATGTACCACAACTTTCTTATCCATTCATCTGCCAGTGGACATCTAGGTTGCTTTCATGTCCTGGCTGTTGTAAATAGTGCTGTGATGAACACTGGAATACATATGTCTCTTTCAATTCTAGAGTGGTAGTTTTATGAGCAAATGAGATTAGGACAATTGGATATTCTTGGGAAACAATTGAAACTTGACCTAAATATCACACCTTATACAAAAATTTGAGTATAGTCTCAAAGTGAACATCCAGGTATAAAGTGTAACATTACAAATTTTTTAGGAAAAACATAAAGAGAATATCTTCATGACCCAAATCTGGACAAAAAGACTTTTGACATGACCCCAAAAGCATAATTCATTAAAAAAAATCACTTAGATTCCATCAAAATTAAAAATGTTTGCTCTGTAAAAGACACTATTAAGAGAAGGAAAAAGATAAACCACAGAATGGCAGGAAATATTTGTAAATACATTTTCATCAAAAGACTGTATTCTGAATACAGTGAACTCTGAATTCAGCAGGAAGAAAACAAACAATCCAATTGAAACCTGGACAAAAGATTAACACAGACACTTTACCAAAAAGCTATCTGGTAATTAAATAAGAATATAAAGAGATGATTAGCATTATTAGTAATTAGGGAAATGCAAATTAAGCCACAAAGAGATAACACTTCACATTTCTCACAGGCTAAAATTAAAAATACTGACAATGCCAAGTTCTGGCAAAACGGCAGAGAAATTGGATCACTCATGCATTGCTGGTGGGTGAATGGTCCAGCCATTCTGGAAAAAAGTTCAGCAGTTTCACCTAAACTTAAATATTCACTTACCTTACAGCTCGGCAATCACACTCCTGGGTATTAATGCTTGAAAAATGAAAAACTTATATTCATTCAAAAATCTGTACTTGAATATTCATAGCAGCTCTATTTCTGATGATCAAAAACTGGAAACTAGCCAAATGTTCTTTACTGGGTGAATAGACAAATAAATCCTCTGTAATACATCTGTACAATGCCACATTATTTATAGATTTTTCTCAACTTGCAATAGAATTGTGTCTCAATAAACCATTTTCAGTTGAGAGGATCATAAATGGAAAATGCATCTAATATACCTAACCCACTGAATTGAACCCAGTCTACCTTAAAGGTGCTCAACACCGACATTAACCTACAGCTGGGTGAAATCATCTAACACAAAGTCTATTTTATATTAAAATGCTGAAAATCTCATATAATTTATTGAGTACTGTACTGAAAGTGGGGCCTCCAAGGTGGCTCTAATGGAGAAAGAACCTGCCTGCTAAAGCAGAGACATAAGAGAAGCAGGTTAAATCCCTGGATCAGGAAGATCCCCTGAAGGAGGGCACAGCACCACACTCGAGTATTCTTGCCTGGAGACTCCCATGGACAGAGGAGCCTGGTGGGCTACAGTCCATACTGTCTCAAAGAGTTGGACACAACTGCACAAACTTAACACACACACACTAAAAGTAAAAAACAGAATGGTTGTATGAGTACAGAGTGAATGTAAGAGTGTCTGTTGTTTACCCTCCTGATCTCAGGGCTGGCCAGGAGTTCAGCTCACTGCTGCTGCCCAGAATCACCAGGGAATGTTATACCACATGTTGCTAGCAGGGGAAAGGATCATATTTAAAAATTCAAAGTATGGTTTCTACTTTCTACTGAAAGTTCATCACTGTCTTTGCACTGTAAGGTAAAGAAATCCAGAGTCAGAACATCATAAGATGGTAACAGTCTGTAGTGATTAAAAGAAACAGACTACTGATATGTGCAATAGCCTAGATGGGACTTCCTTGGTGGTTCAGCAGTAAAAATCCATCTGCCAAGCGGGAGACGTGGGTTTGATCTCTGGGTCAAGAAATCCCCTGGAGAAGGAAAAGGCAACTCACTCCAGTATTCATGCCTGGAAAATTCCATAGACAGAGGAGCCTGGTGGGCTACAGTCCATGTGGTCACAAAAGAGACAGGACTTAGAGACTAAACAATAATAGCCTAGATGGATCTCAGGATGTTATGCTGAATGAAAAAGTAGTCAATCTCAGAGGCCATATGGTATATAATTACACTTATTGGATTATTATGATGCTTACATAGTGTGATTTTGCTTAAACAACATTCTCAAAGGCACAAAATATAAAGATGAAAAGGAGATGAGTAGTTAGCAGGGTTATAGAGTTATACATGTGATAAAATATACACTTATACATGTGATAAAATTTCTTAGAGTGATGTATGAAAACCTGAGTGTATATCAAAATTGATGTAAAAGGTTATGATATTTTGGTAAAATTGTATTAATATCAATTTCTTGATAGATATGAATTCAAAATCAGATTTCAAAAGAATAATATTTAATTCTGGTTATAATTTCATTTAAATATGAACCACTGAATAGGCTCTGAAATTCAGATGGGCTGATTTTCTAAAATCATTTCATGTCACAGTAATTTTATTTATTGAAAAATCTAAGTAGAGCCCTGGAACTCAGTGAAAAAACAAAAGCGATACATTATTTTGGATAAGATTGCTTTTCTCCCAGAAGGCCTAAGATCGTGAATATTTTAAATCAGTCAGTAGATTCTGGATGGAGAAAAGTAAGTATAGGCTAAATGAATGACCAATCAGTAGATTTCAAGAAAGTTTTGTAGGCTATCCAAAATTATATCTAAAACAGGATGGCAAATAATTTTACTGAATAATTCCCAGTGTATGTCAACTTGTTTAATCTTTAGTTCCCCTCAATTCAAATCTTTAATATTAATTGCTTTTTTCAGGCCCTTTTCCAGGATCTGCCAAATTGAATGACCAGGGAAACACTAGTAGACAAAGTAAAAGTTTGTGGTGAGCCAAACTGTTTTCCTTCTGAGCACAGACCAGATGGTCTAGGAACAGGACAAATGGCACTTCCTGTCTGGGGGAGGAGCCACACAGGAACCAGGTGATGTGTAAATGTGTTGCCAGGCACTTACAGACACGGAAATCTTAGCTTGAGGCAGAATTAGACACACTTGTGCTGGGGAATTCATGCCTCATGCCGCTCTCCAGTCTGCTCTGGGTGTTCCTGGCCTTCACCTTCTCTGGTAGGGATGCTTCCAAACATGGGTGCGAGTGTTCAGGGTGAAAGGACTGCACACAGACATGTGTTACTTCACAGGGACTTGGGGAAGAAAGGAGGACTGGAGAAAAGCAAACATCTTAGGATTTCAGTTTGGTTTGTAAATATTTGGGTCCAAAATTAGCATAATTTCTACATTATTTTGTTCAGTATTTCAGCTCTGTTTTCTTGTTTGTTTGTTTGTTTTTTTCCCCACAGGATCTGGTGTGGCCCAGAGTGTTATTCAAGACCAACCACACATACTCAGTGAAGTGGGGAAGACAGTCACCCTGAACTGTCAGTATGAAACAAGTTGGGACGTGTACAAGTACTACATTTTCTGGTACAAGCAGCTTCCCAGTGGACAGATGATTTACCTTATCCGTCAGTATTCAGATGATGGGGATGCAAGGGACGGCCGCTACTCTGTAAATTTCCAGAAAGCTCATAAATCCATCAGCCTCACCATTTCAGCCTTAGAGCTGGAAGATTCTGCAAAGTACTTCTGTGCTCTCTGGGACTCACAGTGCTTGAAGTAATAGGAAAGCTGAACAAAAACCCCAGAACTAAATAAATGAGAGCCCCCGTGCTGCAGGACCCCAGCTGAAATGCACACCTGCAGACCCCAGACAAGAAATGGTAGTCCTGCAGTTGCTTCATCTGTAGTTTGGATCAGAGGATTTAATTCTAAATAAAAGCTTCTTTGATGTCACTTGGAAGCAGGTGTCCAGAGTGACTGTCAACTAATATGTTCTCCTCTTGAATTCTTGACTTTAAGTCAATCATACAGAAGATGTGTAAAGTTGTCTAAAGCTGTAAACTTGCTCCATAATAATTTAAAGTGACAGTTTCCATAAAATACACTCATATCACAAATCTGGGTATAGTTATCATGAATCATCATGAAAATCATTTCCTTAGTCCTTTCTTCTTAGACTTTTGTCCCTTAAGGTACAATCAGAGAAGCAGAACCACTAGTGGTGTCGAATAAGAAATTAGTTATAAAGATTAGAATTCAGGCAATTGCTAGGTCTGGTGGAAGAGTGTATACAAAGCTGTTATCTTAGTATCTGGTGTTGAGACTGAATTTAGTGTTAGTCATTGGAGTAATATTTGTAGAAGAACACTGGATAGAGACTGAAGCATGGACGAACTGTGACTCAAATGACAAACTAGAGCCATGAAGATAGTGGAGCCCACAAAGACACACTAAAACTTGGCTACGTCTCACCTCCCTCATTTCACAGTAGTGGGTGACCTTAGGAGAAGTAGGTGTCATTTGGCATCATGCTACATACATACTTGGCCCAAGACAAAGAGAAGATGAGGAGATTTGATTGGAAGTAAAGGAGTTGTGAGTCAACAATAAGATGAGCTATCAGATCAGCAGCAACATGTATAATTAACCATAGTCTCTGGAGCCCTGCAACAAACCCCCAAATATAAAAACTGTGGCTGCTCCATCACAGCAACCTTCCAAATGTTAAACAAGTTCCTTTGGTGGCCAACCCTAAGTCCGAACAATATGGAAAGCACATTCTGGGAAAGATGTTTCCAGTTAGTTAAGATAGATCAAAGCTGCTACAGTACCCTCTTTGTCATCCATCTGTACTCTTTTAACCACTTTTGAAAAAGGATGATTGGAAAGCTATGGTTCTTGCTCATGTTGTTGTTGCTGTTCAGTCACTAAGTCGTGTCTGACTGTTTGTGACTCCGTGGACTGCAGCTCACCAGGCTCCTCTATCTTCCGCTATCTCCCAGAGTCTGCTCAAATTCACATCCATTGATTTGCTGCTACCATACAACCGTCTCATCCTCTGCTGCCCTCTTCTCTTGCCTTCAATCTTTCCCAGCATCAAGCTTGGTCTTTTCCAATGAGTTGGCTCTTCTCAACAAGTGGCTAAAGTATTGGAGTTTCAGCTTCAGCATCAGTCCTTCCAATGAATATTCAGGGTTGATTTCCTTTGGGATTGACTACTTTGATCTCCTTGCAGCCCAAGGGACTCTCAAAAGTCTTCTCCAGCACCACACTTCTTGCTATTATGGTGCAGTAATTCCTCATTCAATCCAAAACCTTCTAACCTTATCCTTCAAAGATTAGAGCAAGTTCATTTATCCATTTGTAGGTGATGTTATTTTATCTTCTAGCTAGCCACACTCTCCCACTGAATCCTGTATCTTCACTATTGAGATAAAATAAGATATAAGATTGAGTTACATTAACACACCTTCCTTATGTTACTACATGCAGGAAAATGGGAGGGGGGAGTTAAAAATTGGTTAATATAATACATAAATATATTCATATAAAAATGAAAAACAAATTTTCATAAGTATCATTGTTCTCATTCCTGCAAATGACCATATGATTATAGCTTGTATTTATAATGACCTCTTCCATTACCCATCCTATAACCTATTTGCTCATAGCAAGCACTTCCACTCACTGCTACACTTGACTTCCTATAAAGCAATCTCCTTATTCAGGAGCAATGCTATGAGGAAATCCATAAATTTGAATAAGGAATTCTGCAAGTCCACCACTCTGGTTGTAACAGATGTTTGCAAGACATTGTATTCTGGGAAACATCAATAAGAATGATTAAAAGTTGTTTGCTGTTTGGAAGAAGAGCTATGACAAAGCTAGACAGCAGAGACATTACTTTACCAACAAAGGTCCCTCTAGTCAAAGTGATGGTTTTGCCAGTAGTTGTGTATGTATGTGAAAGTTGGACCACAAAGCTGAGCGTAGAATAACTGATGCTTTTGAATTGTGGTGTTGGAGAAGACTCTTGAGAGTCCCTTGGACTGCAAGGAGATCCAACCAGTCAATTCTAAAGGGAATCAGTCCTGAATATTCATGGGAAGGACTGATACTGAAGCTGAAACTCCAATATTTTGGCCACATGATGCAAAGAACTGACTCATTGGAAAAGACTCTGATGTTGAGAAAGATTGAAGGCAGGAGAAGGGGAATACAGAGGATAAGATGGTTGGATGGCATCATTGACTCGATGAACTTAAGTTAGAGCAAGCTCCAGGAGTTGGTGAGGGACAGGGAGGCCTGGTGTGCTGCAGTCCATGGGGTCGCAAAGAGTAGTACATGACTGAGCAACTGAACTGAGCTGATAACTTCACATCAGAAGCAATAGAAGCCACCAAGGTAAAAAAAAAAAAAAAGAAAGAAAGAAAGACACATTTATAGAGTTTAAAGAAAACAAACTAAATATCCAAGCCAGTTTCTTATGAACATGAAAATATATTTTTAAATTGTGTTTGTTTTAAATCACCACTAAGAGTTTTGAAAGTCAAAGCACAGATTGATAAACAGTATTTGCAGTGCATATTTCCGAAAAAGGACTCAAATGCAGAATATGTTAGAAGTTCCTTTAAATCATTAAGAAAACAGATAATAAAGAATGACAAAATCTTGGAGATCCAACTCAGAAATAAGATAACCGATAGCTAATGCATGTATAAAGACCTTAATATTATTATTAATTAGGGAAATGAAAATAATACTTTTCCTAGGCATACCATCTGGGTCCTTTCAGTACTCTGAGCATCAATGTGGCTAAGAGAATATGACTCCAGGAAATAGGGAGAAATAATGACTGCCTCCAGGAAAATAAGTGATTAAGCAAATTTTCTAGAAGCTTCCATCATTGAACTGATGTGGAGAAAAGAACAAACAGTAACAAGTCACAAACCTGGACATTGAAGGAGAGGTAGGTTTACTGGAAAAAAGAAAGTTGGTATATTTACTGAGCTTTACTCAATGTCAGGCACTGTGGCTTGCCTTTCAGATTCATTATCTAATTTAAATATCAAAACTGTAAGAGATAGGATTTATTGTTTCCTTTAAAAAAAATACTTTGGAAATGAGCCCTATCTTTTCTAATTGTGAAAATCTTCTCTACCTTGTATTATCGGCCAGTGTGTTGCATTTTAGAGGGCTGCTTAGGAGCAAGGTCTGGACTATGGAGAAGCACTTGGCCCCAGAAGTGGGTGGCTGGATGTCTCAGTGGTGGTGACATTACTGGTTTAAACTGGATGCTAAAGGAAACTAAGAAAGAAAATGCCAAAACATAGATTCATCTGTCCCAGGATCAGTAAATGAGCAAAGCATCCACTAATTAGTTGACAGTGCCAGATGCTTTAGTAAGTTTCTTAAGTAATAGTGTGCTGGGAAAAACAAGGGCTACAATCAGATTTCATTCCTTAAACACCCCAAGCTTGTTTCCCAATCAAGACCTGTGTCCCTTTTTTCCCCTCTCTCCTTTGATGCTTTGCTGTTGTTTAGTCACTAAGTCCTGTGTGACTCATCCTCTGTCCATGGGATTTCCCAGGCAAGAATACTGGAGTGGGTAGCCATTTACTTCTTTAGGGGGTCCTCCAGACCCAGGGATTGAATCCATTGGAAGGTGGATTCTTTACCACTGAGCCAGTGATGCTATCCACCCAACTATGAACATGATTCACCTCTGAATTCCTTTATGTTTCAACTCAAATGTCACCCCTTTGTGAATCCTTTGTGTAAATCTGTTTTTCCTTCCTGAGAATCGGACTCTAGCACACTGGATGCAGCAAGAATGAAAGCTGACATACTGCCACCTGGTGTCCTGCTCAAACATTTTGTGAGGCTTTCTCTGGCTTCCCTGCTCCCCTCCAGTGATCTTGGATTAAATTATGGGGAAGCCTAATCACAATAGCAGCTGCCAAAGTTGAACCATTCAGTAAACTTTGCAATGCAGAATTCAAGAGAGAGAGGATTCAAGAAAACTGGCTGGTTTTTTTTTTTCTCTTTTCTTTTTTGCTTTTGCCAGACAGATGTGAAAGTGATTGATTCCAAGTGAGAGACAAACACATGAGATGACTATGGTCTGCATGAATAGAAAGTTTGGAACTGTGCACAAGATGGGAGATTTTTATCTATTAAGTCACATTGCATTTACTGCTTGTCTTTTCTTGTAGTGTAGAAATATC